GGTCTCAGGCAGGGCTGGCTTTTACAGCCTGCTAATTAGGTGCAGCTGACGCTAACTGGAAAAGGGCTGCAGATAGATCAGCACTGCTTAATCCAGGCAAGGTGTCAGAAAGCAGAAGAATGCAAACAAAAACTGAAGCCCCTTGGCGGGTATCATGGTAGGAAACCTAACTGGGATGCTGGAGCTGTGTTCAAACCCAGCCAGGTCTCTTAAAGGGGCAGCCACACTTTGCTGTCTGCAGGGCTCAGGCTGTGCCATGACAGAGACACCATTTGGGAGTTACACTGTCCAGCCACCATTAACAGCTTTCTTTGGGTGCTTCTGGTTTGGCAAACAGCTCCCTGATGGCCATTCACATGAACCAAACCCACAAATGGTACTTAGCCGTGAGCGCTATGGAACTAATTTCGGCATGAGGACTTTGTGGCTTCCCAGTCAACTCAGCTGGACTTACTCTTTTGTGTGAGGCATCATTCACATCAGGCAATGCTTCTTGTGAAAAGCAAACCCAGACCTGGTGTGTGTTTTTTATAGGGCAGGGCAGCTGTAACCAACACCTCCAATCTCATCTCATTGATTGGACTCCAGTTGGCTGACATCTCACTCCAATTAGCTCTTGGAGATGTCATTAGTCTAGGGGTTCACATACTTTTTCCACCTGCACTGTGAATGTTTACATGGTGTGTTCAATAAAAACATGGCAACATGTCATTCTTTGTGTGTTATTAGTTTAAGCAGACTGTGATTGTCTATTGTTGTGACTTAGATGATGATCAGATCACATTTTATGACCAATTTGTGCATAAATCCATTTCATTCCAAAGGGTTCACATACTTTTTCTTGCAACTGTAGCTGTGAATGTTATGGAACTGTTTTCGGCATTAGGTGACCATGTAGTTCCCAGACAACTTGGTCTAGGGTTTGGAACTACTGCAACCTGCCTGAAGAGCACTTTTTGAATGATAGGTGTCTGAGACAAAGGGAAACAAAAGCTACCTGAGAGCTAGGCAAAGCACCCCATATTGCAGACATAGGAGCTCCTGAAAGTTGATTGGGCACTCAGATCAGGGCTTTTTGGGGATGTATTTGTGGGTTATTGAATGTTTTTATGATGTTTTGGGGTATTTTTATGTTTATGTTTTAGTGTTTTCCTCTCTGTGCCTGGGAGATAATTAGCTTACTGGCCTGTAATGCAATTAACTCCCACGCCCATACATTTCTGGCAGGGGCTTGTGCTGAATACAATGCAGACACCCTGCTGGGGTTTGTGCATAAAAGGCCAAGTTTGGCTCATTAAAATCAGTTGTACTCCCAGAACTATGTGTCGTCTAATTACTAGGAGGGGAAAAGGCTAATCACTGTTTAGCATCTTGTTCCAGCTCGTGGAGGATTCAGCTGGGAAAGTCCTTGTAAGGACTACAGCTCCCAGGACTGTAGTCATCCAGTCCCTGGAAGGGAATAGAGCTAGTCCCCTATTCTGTTCCAGGATGTGGAGGCTCCAGAAGGACTCCAGTCCAGCCATAGCGACTGGGGAAGCGCTGAGGTTTTCTCCTGTTCCAGCTTGGAAGCGATCCTTGGCAGAGGTACCCAGCCAGGGTACAGGGAGCTCTGCTACAAATGGTGGCAGAAGTGGGATGGCTTCCAAGACTTGGGGGAAACACATCTTCGGGAGAGGAACTAACTTTTGTGGCCAGGCACCTGCACTGCACACCAGAGCTGGCAAGCGAAATGGCACGGTGGGGGATGCCGTTGCCCCAGTGGCAGTGTGAGTAACAAGGAGTAGAGACTCCCCAAGTGCAGTGTGGGTTCCAGGGAGGGGAGATGGTCGGTCTCACTCCCCAGCTGCAGTGTAGAGTGTAGGGAGTGGAGAAGGTCGGTCTCACTCCCCAGTGGCAGAATGAGTTACAGGGAGTGGAGACAGCTGGTGCCTATTTGGGGATGTCTTATTTGTGGGGTTATTGTATGCTTTTATGATGTTTTGGGGTACACATTACTTGTGTACAGCACTATATCTAGTGCTGCACACTTTATGTTTTTGTGTTTGTCTCTCTGTTCCTTGGAGATAATTAGCTTTAATGCAATTAGCTCCCAGATTTGAATGGAAGCTTTGTGTACTTTGGGGGGGCAAGTGAAGGATAGTAGCACAAGGTATATATTAATTAAAGAGATAGAATCTACCATATTTATTTCTTAAAGGGAAAGCGCCTCAGATTAATACTTTATATAATTAACTCCCAGACCTAGAGATTCCTTGGAGGGGTTTGTGCTGAATACAAGATGTGTGTCGTCCAGTCCCTTGGAGGGAATAGAGCTAGTTCCCTATCCTGTTCCAGGACAGAGAGGCTTCAGGAAGACCCCAGTCCAGCCACAGCGACTGGGGAAACGCTGAGGTTTTCCCTGTTCCAGCTAGGAAGAGGTCCTTGGTGGAGGAAACCAGCTGGGGTACAGGGAGCTCCGCTACAGGTATGCTTAAATATGAAAATCCCACAATGTTACCAATGTAGGGAGTTATCTACTAAACGGCTGCAACATACAGCCGCGGCACAGATAGAAAATTATTCATCCAAATGAAATCCATCAACGAAAATAATCGCCAACTTTCATCTGAAAACGAACGAACAAATCAATTAAATTCTGTTCGAACAAAACCAAAACATTTTCGGACAAATGTATTTAAACAAAAAGTACATTTTGGGGTGCCAAAGTACAGCAGTTTCAATAAGGATATTGGAGTGTATGTAGATAACTAAGGGACATTTCAGGTACTATGTTCATCTGTATTTTTCTTTCTTTGTTATAAAGTTGCTATAGTGCCTATTTGTATTTTAACGGGCCTGATTAGCAAGGAATTGTTAATGTTGCTTACACACATCATCACAATTCAGGTGAGGTGTGTTTGGTGTACATTCTTCTCAGATACATACAACTTAAAAATAATCGCTAAAAAGTGTTTTCAGTGGCTTTCAAAGTTGTTTTAGTTTTTTTAATTTGCTAAGTGTCCAATGTTGGCAACTACCTTTTGGAAAAAAAAAAAAAAAAAAAAAAAACAGACTAAACAATGGAATCACTCTGCCATAGTTAAAGTACCACCATAGTGTTAAAAAGAAGTAAGTAGAAGTATAGCTCAGGGTGTTGCAGTGGATGTGATCTATTTGGATTTTGCCAAGGCATTTGATACAGTTCCACACAATAGATTAGTGTTCAAACTCAAGGAAATCGGTCTAGATGAAAATGCGTGTTCTTGGATAGAACATTGGCTTAAAAACAGAGTACAAAGAGTTGTCACTAATGGTAAATGTTCAAGCTTGACAGAGGTGGCAAGTGGTGTCCCTCAGGGGTCTGTTCTGGGACCCCTTCTATTTATTGTTTATAAATGATCTTGAAGACAGCATTGAAAGTCATGTTTCAGTGTTTGCAGATGACACAAAACTCTGTAAAATAATACAATGTGAGCAAGATATTACTTTGCTGCAGAGGGATTTAGATAGACTGGGGGACAGGGCACTCAAATGGCAGATGAAATTTAATGTTGAAAAATGCAAAGTTACGCACTTTGGCGTAAAGAATACACAAGCAACGTATACCCTTAATGGAAGCGAATTAGGGATAACAACACACGAAAAGGACTTGGGAATTGTTATAGACAACAAACTATGCAACAATATGCAATTTCATTCAGCAGTGGCGAAGGCCAGTAAGGTATTGTCCTGCATGAAAAAGGGCATTCACTCGGGACGAGAATATCATTTTGCCTCTTTATAAATCACTGGTAATACCACATATTGAATATGCTGTGCAATTTTGGGCACCTGTTCTAAAGAAGGATATTATGGCACAATAAATAGTGGAGAGACAGGCTACAAAATTAATAAAAGGAATGGAACATATCAGCTATGAAGAAAGGTTAACAAATGTAAACCTATTTAGTTTAGAAAAAAGTCGCCTGAGAGGGGATATGATAATATTATACAAATATATTCGGGGCCAATACAAACCATTGTGTGGAAATCTATTTGTGGCGAAACCGGCCTCGCCACGTGTCCTTGGAGGGGGCTGCTTGCCCGCCTCTTGCCTTTGGACTATGGACCAGACTTTATGTGAATGTGTTAACCCAGATAGCTATGCCATGGAGCCCATTCATGTAGTTAAAGACTTCGGCTCCATGGCAATTGAACTGTGTGAATAGGATCTGAGCGCTATTTGGTAGTTTTGTGCGCTCAGATCCCAGCTATCTGGGGATATGTGAAATGTCTGTGTCTTATGTGTAAAAAGTGACTTTATGTATTTTAAAGTGTTTTGTGTCTTTTTGCAACCATGTGCTTAATGGAGTCTTGTGTCTGTCCTGGGAGATAATTGAATTACTCTCCAGGATAGAAGACTCTGAAACTGGTTTGGGCCGGAAAGCCATGCTTTATTTAGTCACAAAGGACTTTCCCTTAACTTTTGAACCCCTGGTCTGATTCGTGCCATTTTTTAATATGTTGTTCCCCTGAATGGATTGATTATGAAAATGTAAGTTTTATGTATGTACGATGTTAACTCACAAAGTTATAAAAATGTACAAAAGTAACTTTTCAGCTTGGAGATAATTGAGTAGATACAGTAATTGACTCAATTATCTCCTAAGCAGAGGGGAGGAATATGCTGGGTGTGTTTCTATTGTCCCATTGTGTCTGATTGGCTGCTGTACTTGCATTGTATGTGTTGTAATGTGTTTATTGGTGGTTCTGCAAAACCCTGTGGGCAGTACTATGTTTTGTGGATTGTAATAAAAACCAGGCTGGGTGTGCCAGCACTGGAGTTCCTGTTTTAACCCTCAAAGTGAAGTGTCGTCTCATTATTGGGGGAAGGATTTATTGTATGCTGTTCCAGTTTGACTGCTAGGAGAGTAAACCTATTCGTATGGTTCCTATTCAACTGTCTACAGCATTCATATGCTTGGGAGAATTTATTTGTTTCTCCGGTTCAGTGATTGTGGTGTCTGCTGCAGTGCTTGGAGTCCTCAGGAAGCGCTAGGAGCATCCTTCAACGGAGGTACCCAGTCGGGGTGCCAGGCGATCCGTTACATTGGTGGCAGCGGTGGGATGGCGTCCTAGGGCGAGGTAAAGCAGCTCAGAGACACCGTTCGTGGAGTTACAAATTGAGGGCAACGCTAGCACACGTGCAGCGCCCCTGGGAGCAGAGGTATCCAGCGACTTGGAGCAGACAAGTATGGAAGGCTCTGGCGATGATTGGATGGCCGAGGTGAGGCAGCGAGTGGCCCAGTATGGGGATGATTTACCCATGGAGGTACGCCGGGTGATCTGGAACCAGGTCACGGCCGAGCGAAACACAAGGCTGGCCCGAGAATTCCGGCTGGCGAAAGAGAGAGAGTATGCTCAGCGGAAGGAGTGTTACAGCAGCCGAGTAGAGGCTGCATCCGAGGAGGCTAGCCGTCTCCCCCTGAGGCGGCCGCAGGAACCCGAAGTAGGGGTCCTCATAGACTGGTCCTGTGAGGAACCACAACAGGCAGGTGGAGATGGGACCGGCCCAGATCCCCAGCAGCAGCCGGAGTTGCCAGGTGCGGAAGCAGGTGGTCCTTACTCGCAAATGTTGAGGGACCTCACAGACTGGTCCTGGGAAGACCCACAGATGGCAGGTGGAGATTGGACGGCGGTCTCTCTACCGGCCCTACAGGGATGCTGGGCGGTCGGCCCAGATCTCCAGCGGCAGTATGTATCACAGGGAGCTGAAGGTGCTGTCCTTCCTCCCCAGCGGCAGTGTGAGTTCCAGGTAGCCGAAGGTGCTGTCCTTCCTCCCCAGCAACAGTGTGAGTTCCAGGGAGCCAAAGGTGCTGTCCTTCCTCCCCAGCGGCAGTGTGAGTCCCAGGGAGCTGAAGGTGCGGTCCTTCCTCCCCAGCGGCAGTCTTTTTCCCAGGGAACGGAAGGTGCAGTCCTTCCTCCACAGCAGCAGGACAAAATATTGAAAGGAGAGACAGTTGGTCCCCCTCTCCACCAGCAAAGAGTGTGTCAGGGAGAGGAGCAGGTTACCCCCTCTCCCCAGCGGCAGTCTACAATTCAGAGAGAGGAGCTTGTTACACCCTCTCTCCAGCGGCAGCCTAACCCACCAAGGGGAGATGTTAAGCCCCACAACTATGCAGATGGGACCGTAGTCTCTGCACTTGCAGCACCAGGGGTAGGGACAGTCGGTCCTGTCCCCCAGCCACAGAGCAGTGTATCCAGAGGGGAGACAGTCGGTCTCCCCCTCCCACAACCAGGCTCCAACCAGGCTACTTCAGTGGTAGCGCTGGCACCCAGGCAGAGTACCGCTGGTCTCTGCCCACTCAGCAACCCATCAAGGCAGTCTACCAGCCCCCCGCACAGCCGTGGTGAGGCACCTGGACATGGACAAGTTGCTATTTTATCCAGGTGTAGTAACCAGTTATTGTGGGTGGGCTGTATTGCTGTTTGTGCTTCGTGGGTGGGTTGCTGGACTAACCAGGGCACTGACCGGCAGGAGGTCAGATACCCTGTTAGTCTGGATGGTAAAGGGGAGAAATGTGGCGAAACCGGCCTCGCCACGTGTCCTTGGAGGGGGCTGCTTGCCCGCCTCTTGCCTTTGGACTATGGACCAGACTTTATGTGAATGTGTTAACCCAGATAGCTATGCCATGGAGCCCATTCGTGTAGTTAAAGACTTCGGCTCCATGGCAATTGAACTGTGTGAATAGGATCTGAGCGCTATTTGGTAGTTTTGTGCGCTCAGATCCCAGCTATCTGGGGATATGTGAAATGTCTGTGTCTTATGTGTAAAAAGTGACTTTATGTATTTTAAAGTGTTTTGTGTCTTTTTGCAACCATGTGCTTAATGGAGTCTTGTGTCTGTCCTGGGAGATAATTGAATTACTCTCCAGGATAGAAGACTCTGAAACTGGTTTGGGCCAGAAAGCCATGCTTCATTTAGTCACAAAGGACTTTCCCTTAACTTTTGAACCCCTGGTCTGATTCGTGCCATTTTTTAATATGTTGTTCCCCTGAATGGATTGATTATGAAAATGTAAGTTTTATGTATGTACGATGTTAACTCACAAAGTTATAAAAATGTACAAAAAGTAACTTTTCAGCTTGGAGATAATTGAGTAGATACAGTAATTGACTCAATTATCTCCTAAGCAGAGGGGAGGAATATGCTGGGTGTGTTTCTATTGTCCCATTGTGTCTGATTGGCTGCTGTACTTGCATTGTATGTGTTGTAATGTGTTTATTGGTGGTTCTGCAAAACCCTGTGGGCAGTACTATGTTTTGTGGATTGTAATAAAAACCAGGCTGGGTGTGCCAGCACTCAGTTCCTGTTTTAACCCTCAAAGTGAAGTGTCGTCTCATTATTGGGGGAAGGATTTATTGTATGCTGTTCCAGTTTGACTGCTAGGAGAGTAAACCTATTCGTATGGTTCCTATTCAACTGTCTACAGCATTCATATGCTTGGGAGAATTTATTTGTTTCTCCGGTTCAGTGATTGTGGTGTCTGCCAGAGTGCTTGGAGTCCTCAGGAAGCGCTAGGAGCATCCTTTAACGGAGGTACCCAGTCGGGGTGCCAGGTGATCCGTTACACTATTCACAAACCGTACTTTACATAGGACACAGGGTCATGCGTTTAGACTGGAAGAAAGAAGATTTCGTCTGAAACAAAGGAAAGGTTTTTTTACTGTAAGAACAATAAGGATGTGGCATTCTCTGCCTGAAGAAGTGGTTTTATCAGAGTCCATACAGATGTTCAAACAGCTACTAGATGCATACTTGCAAAAACAGAATATTCAATTGCTTGATCCAAGGATAAATCTGACTGCCATTCTGGGGTCAAGAAGGATTTTTTTTCCTAGCTTGATGCAAAATTGTGCTTCAAACTGGGTTTTTTGCCTTCTTTTGGATCAACAGCAAAAAACAAATGTGAGGAAGGCTGAACTTGATGGATGCAAGTCTCTTTTCAGATATGTAACTATGTAATACAAACATGTATTCCTACAGTGCAGAAGGGCTATTTAGACATCTGGTCCCCCTCAGAGTGCAGGGAAAAAGTAGTTAACTTACTTTTTCTCCATCGCTGTATCAGTCTCCCTGCACCTGGCCTTGCTCTATGGTTGAGATCATCAATCTTGGTGATCTTAGCCAATCCAATGCTTACAGGTCAGTTGAGCCAATCAGCATTTCCTCATAAAGATACATTGAGTCAATGCATCTCTATGGGGAGAGTTCAGCATCTCCATGCAGAATAGCACTGAAATAGGAAGCACCTCAACTGGCCATATGAGTGACTGCCACTAGAGGTGAAAAGCATGCAGGGACAAGCTATAGATACAAGAACCACTACATTAAGCTATTAGTGGTTCTGGTGAATATAGTGTCCCTTTAACAGCTTATTGACAGCCATTATAATGCTGAAAATTGGGGGCGGGACTTACCAAGCAACCTGACCAGACGCCATTTCTCTAAGCTCCCTAAAACAAAACACAATCCTGCGGATATCAGCAGTACCGAACCCAATCCAAATACCACACGAGCACAACTGGTGCCAAAAGGGCAGGGAGCACCAATCAATGCCTTTCTTTCAACGACCGAAGACGGCATGATGGAAATACAAAACTGGGGCCTACCGCACGCTGCATGACCTCGGAAGTTTCCTAGGATGCATCGCAACAACCAGCGCTGCAACACCCCACAGCCTAGCTCCATCTGCCTCGCTGACCAACATTCCGAGCATGGGCAGGCGCTCCCAAAAATCGTACACCCCAGCGGAGGGCAGCGGCCGGTGCAACCTAAGCCCACCACCACCAATGGACACCCAGACACGGTGCAGAATCCGACGCTACAACAACATGAGCGCGAGAGTCTGCAATACTCACCAACACCCGCGGGCGAGTCTCCAGAATCAGTCGACGACACTGCACCGACCACCAAGAAGGACTTAAAACTAATGCTTGCCGAAATCCGACTCGGTCATTCTCAAAACAGAAGTAAGGGCAGTGTCGGAGAGGGTCAGAACTAATGAAACAGCCCTAACGGAGGTACAGTCCAAGCTCAACATGATGGCGAACTCAATAAAAACGCTACAAACATAGCAACAATCTACGACACTCAAGCTTTCCAATATGGAAGACTGCCAGAGGCGTACCCACATCAAAATCAGGGGCATTCACGCAACGATCACGGTGGAGGAATTATCCCATTATATCAGGAGAATGCTAGCTACAATCCTGTCACACACAGTGGCCAAGAACATGGCAATAGAAAGCGTATACTGCCTCCCAAACCATCCACATCACCGGATTAACACGGGGAGAGACGTCATCCGTCGCTGCATCTCCCTACCTGACAAAATGCAAATATTGTCAGCGCTGAAAGGCAAAACACCGTTCACCTTCGAAAACTCGACCCTGACCTTCTTCCAAGATTTGACAAGGTCCACACTATTGCACTGCAAATCGTACACTCCAGTCATGACACTGTTGCGAACCGCGGGACTGAGCTACCACTGGGGGTGGAACTGCTCACTAGCGGTGACTCGAGACGGGACAGTACATACTTCGCCATCCATGTCAGAGGCGGCATCCTTCCTGGGGACCCTGGGACTTTCACCCCAAGACACACCAGCCGCCTCAGGAGTGCAGAGGTGGGACCCGGCCTCCATAACACCATTCATCCCTAGAACACCAAGCCAGCAGGAGACGGCCAACCCGGAATGAAAAGCAGAGATGGGACTTTTACTACCGCACCTCAACAAACCTTATTTGTCTAACTTCACACGCACCATACGCTTACCTACCTGGGCTCCATAATGTCCAGGCTTAACACAAACACGCCGACTAGACAGCGGAAACAGAGACCACAGTAAGTGGCAAAAATACCCCACCCCCCGCGACTTCCTTGGTCAGGGGCCATAAACCCACATGCATAGGTTAACGTAATATACATACTGTGCTCATGGGCCCAATCCTCGCCCACTATGCAAATGCCCTCTTAGCTAGATGTAAGCACGATACAACCTTGCCTTCGCTAAAACCAAGCACCCGGGAGAGAGCCGATCAGGTGAACTAACCAAAGTACTCCTCGAGTACTTCGCCCCCACCTGTTTACTCCACTCCCATGAAGTACTTATGTTTAAACACTCTCACTATCAGGTTTAAGTCTAGGAATTTAAACTCCAATACAACTCGCCTATTGCACCTAGACAGACTGAT